AACAAGATGAAACACTATTTGAGCACTTATTTTCATCATATTTAATAATTTAAAAACTGAAATCCTTTTCAATGATTCTAAAAATAGTTATCGAATTAATTATTAATAACAAGTAAAATTCTAGAGATATATTTTTTTATTTATTTTTATTTGGGTCTTATAAATAATCTTCATTAATTAATTAATAAGAACCATGGGGAGCATTAGATTCCATATGTGTGGTCCCGAATACTTAATTTGGATATATATATATATGTTGCCAGGGGAGAAAGAGACTTTGTCGATGGGTTCAAGAGATTCCCATAACATTGATATCGATACAAGTCAACAACAACATATACAAGTTCGTCCAAAGCAAACAACAAAATATGCAAAGACACAGAATTTATTGCCTCTTGTTCTTATTGATCATTACTTTATTTTCCTTGCATATGCCTCACGGCTTTGTGATAAGTGACATGTATAAAACTATGGGCAGCAGAATATGTACAAATATATATACATATATTTTGTCACTGGCCAGAGAGAAACAACAAAATATATATCTCTTGGTCAGGAAATTGAAGGCTCAATCTTCTTAAGAAAATTACAATGAGATCTCAATAAAGGAAAAAAAATTACTCCCTCCGTTCCTTATTATAAGAGACATTTGATGCTTATGGCATGTTCCTATATATAAGAGACACTTAAAAGTTGTTTCTACTTTTTTGTGCTGATTTCCTATTTTACCCATATTTATTGTCTCAAACTCACACTCTCTCTCCTTCCTACTTCTCTTTCTTTTAATAATTTACTCCCTCCGTTCCTTATTATAAGAGACAAATAACCGAAATACGTTGATCAAAAAACAGTTAAATTAGTTAAGAACAATTAATGTGTAAAAAGTATAATTTTTTTCCAAAAATACCCTCATTAATAAGGAGAGAGAGTATGAGAGAGAAAAATTAAATTATTCAAAGAAAGAGAAGTGGGAGGGAGAGAGAGTGTGAGTTGGAGATAATAAATATGGGTAAAATAGTAAATCAACACAAAAAGTAGAGACAACTTGTAAGTGTCTCTTATATATAGGAACATGCCATAAGCATCAAATGTCTCTTATATAAGGAACGGAGGGAGTACCATTTTTCTCTTTCATGTTCTCTCTCCTTATTAATGAGGGTATCTTTGAAAAAAAATTATACTTTTTACACATTGATTGTTCTTAACTAATTTTAACTGTTTTTTTTATCAATGTAATTTGGTTATTCGTCTCTTATAATAAGGAACGGAGGGAGTACAAAACAAGTCTCAAAGGTTATCATTTTCTATTCTAAAACTTGTCTGTTTAGACTGTTATTGGGATCTTTTAGTAACTATTTCTCTTTCTTGAAACTTGATTTAATTTGCCCAATCTTATTTTTTCTGCTCCCAATAGCTCCCAATCACATATACTAACGCGCGTGCGTATGTGTGTGTGGCCATGAAAATTAAATACTACTTATATAAGAGTCTTATATTTAGGATCGGAGGAGTATTGCATATAATAAAAGTTCCTCCATCTATTTCCTTCGAACTTCCCATCACCTGCTGCCTAATAATTGAAATGTTCTTTGCATTGCACCGTGAAGATTTGAATTGGGATTCATATAGAGTACTATATACTAAGTACTTATTTAATATGATTGATTAAAATGTCGAATAGTATAAATATGATTTTTTTTTAAACTTATCTAGGCTGGAGGGAGGGCAAAGAGATGGACAATAAACCTGCATATACTACACTCTTATCTTATTTATAAATTATTTTCAGCATGTTATTATAAGTAAGAAAAAAAATCTTAACTCTTATGAATTTTGTCTTCAACTTTAATAACTTTTCAATTTTATCTTTATTTAATATATATTTCAATAAAATAACAGTCTGTGCAGTAATTAGTGAAGAATAAAATTACACTTTCATATACAGACAAAATTTGCTGATATGATTTATAAATAAAATAAAAATATTTTCTCAAGATCACACGACTATGTTCACCGGGGCTAGTATTTGATAGGCTTAATTCTAATTTCTAACTGCTTTTCACATGCATGCTCCTATAGATTTAATGACATGGGTTTCCTCATCTATGACCCTTTAAGTAGACCTATCTTTTTTTTTGTTTTTTGTCTTGACCTATAAAATCATTTGCATTTAAACACTCACAAGTGTATTTGAGAATTTCCCTTCGCCAATAAATGCTGCTTCTTTCGCCCCTTAACTTGATAATAAATACTGCTACCATCATGTGAATAAATTCAGACCTACTTTTGTTTGACAATAGTTACAACCACTAAGGATGTCTTTAATTAACCATATTCTTCTAAACCCAAAAAACATTAGGTGCACCAAATCCTGGTAGCAGCTAAAGTAGGTACCATTATTTTATTAAACAAAACTCATACATTATTACTTTACTTGTGTTCCTAATTCAAACATCTTTATATTATCTCATGATTGAGCAATATTTTTCATAATAAGCAAATTTCAAAATTCAAAACCATATACGCCATCATTATTATCATAGCGAGGAATGTTTTAGGGCAAACAAGTGTTTGTTTTTAATTATTAACATCTCATAATTGACATAGGCCCATGGGCATATAATATAATTTCTTTTTAATTTTATCAGTTAACTAAATAATATTTTTTCCTTTTCGTTGATATATCAAGTAAATCTCTCTCTCTCTCTAAGAAAACGTGATAATTGGCATTGGATCTTGTGGATTTACCTTTAACTTCCTACCATTCACCATATGTGACCAAAAGGTGAGACATATATGCATCATTTATCGCATATTTTGATAAAGCAGAAAAAAGTTATGAGACAACATTATAGAATAAGCAAAAATACTAACTTTTTCTCTCCTTCAATTTATCAGATTGTGGAAAATATTAACTTGCTTTTACAGACAGAGGTGGATAATTAATTGAAAACTGACTGGATTAATTTAATTTCAACTTTATTTTTCAAATTATCTTATGTCTGAAAAGAATAAGATAGATATAATAATAAGCCGATATTTAAATTATGGACTTTAAAATTTTTTACAATGAAAAAAACAGGTTTAACTCCCCTAAATTAAATATAGATAGTTTAGATTATTCATATAAACAATTTAATTCAAATGATTATTGAATAATGTTTGGATTCTCTCAAATAGTTAAGCAGCAAAATGTCACTCATATAACTGTCCCAACTGATTAAAATTTAAAAAGACATGAATTATTCAAAAATAAAAATGGCACATAACATAACTTTTACATATTGGAAGAAAAGAAAAGGTAAATGACTTGTTGTTGAAGTTGTCTCCTGCAGATAGGTAAATCAATAATGGTGCCAAGAGTGGGAGGCAATTCTGGTCCTCCCAATAAAGGGTGCTCCACTTTACACTCCAAAGATATTTTTATCATATGTGACTCCTTTATATTCATTGAATATATATATTTATATATTTATATATATGCAATGGCTAAAAATGAATGGGATGAATTCATCTGGTAAATTAATTAATTTTATAGAAAAATATTGTTTATTTTAAAATTAAACAAGGTTTGGAAATTCTTTCAATTTTCTCAATTTAGCAATTTCCCCCTCAACTTTTGACATAGAGTGAGAAGTGATTTTGTATGACTTTTTTCTAGTCAACATGGCCATCAAGTGGGACTAAATTTCCTCTGTACAACTTTAGTGCATGCCCTACATGAACTTAAATATATTTATAGGAGCGTATGTGAATTTATTTGAACAAATCTAGATTAATTATGTGACCCCTATTAGTTGCAATATAATCAGACTAATAAATCACACGCCAATGTACCAGAAATGATGGTTCAATTTGGTTTTCCTTACAATAATTGTTCACGGGGCTTAATCTCTGTTTTTTTTTTTGGGTTAATTTCACAAATATAAATTATCCAAACCTATGCTGTTGAATGTGTTTTTGACTTGTGACCCCCAGGAAAAAAAAAAGTATCTGGGACACATTTTATCTCCTCTAGACTGATATAAAAAATTTAAATTATGAAACATCTAACCAAAAAACTAACTAAACAATAAATGTGGTAGAAAATTAGAAATCGAGAGCGTACACGGTTGGCAAATTTTAGGGAAGGCAGCTTTCCAACTTTTTGAGAATTTATACTTTCTTTTTTAAACTAAACAACAATGTCTTTCCGATATTATATATTTATTATTGGGAAATTTTTTGAATTAAATAATTTTTTGTATAAAAGTCCGTTTGGAATGACAGAAATGAAAGGAAGAATACGGAAGAAATTTTTTTTTTAAATTTTATTGTTCTTTTATCTTATATCTTCTCCTTGTTAAAATTTTAAAACTCCACTTCTCTAATTTTTTAAATTAAACTCATGAAAGTTTTTCTTTTTCTATCATCTCTTTTGTTTTTCTCATATCAAACATAGGGTAAAAAAGGTCTGTTAAAAAGGATGAAGAAATAAGTGAAACTTATTGGATGAAATTCGCACACTTTTTTCCAAAAAAAAATTATTGTGATCAAATATTTTATGTCTAAATCAATGAAATCTCTTAGAAAATCTAAGTTTAATTATTTCTTCAATCTAAACTAAGCAATCAATGAAATCTCTTAGAAAATTTAAAATTGAACATTTCTTCAACCCAAGCTAATTTATTTTGAGCATGATTATATATTAACCTTACCTACACTACAAAGTACAAACATAATAACGTGTCAAGACTCATGCAGGTGTAAAAATAAAAAAGTCACGAATCATGGCTGATATTGAAATTGAAACTTTCAATAAATAAAATTACGAGTTAGTTGATCCGCCTGAACTAAACATCTAAATATTCGATCAGATTGAATCAATATTTTAAGATTTTCATCAAATCGATCAGACAATTTAATTAATTTATACACTGAGTTCGATTAAAATTTAATTTAATCGGAATTGTCTAGCCACAGTGAGCCCTACCTGGCCTACAGTAGTCGGCATTGCAAAACTCTCCCTCGCTTCCTCCCTTTCTTCGCCCACTATCTCTCCTTTTCTTTCTCTATTCCTTCAACTTTTCTGAGTCTTCAATGGCTGCCCGTATCTGAAATTCCGTGTTAGAAAACAATTTGGGTCGGTGCAAGGCAACCATTTTCCCTCTCCTTTCGGTTGTGAAAAGGATACCCTTTGGCAAAAAGTCTTGTTTTACTGGTAAAATTAGCTGCCAGTTTATTACCAATCCAAAAAAGCGATAGTCATCTGGGCACTTCACATGGCAGTTTCCTGACGGCTCTGTTCGGTGATAAATTGGGGGGTATTGTATATCTTGGAGAAATGGCATTGGGAAATAATTAGTGATGCATTCTGGGTTTACTTTTTGAACATAATCACAAAGTTGCATCTGATACATTGGTAGTCAACGGAATTTGGATGCTCTATGCCTCTTCAGTGATTGAAGTGATTCAGTTGAACAGAATTTGGATTTGACATGTTAGGCCAAGCTTTTTTAGAGTATCAAGTTTTTGCTGTAATTCAGACTCTCGATTTTTATATCAAAAGAGAGGGTGAAAAATTTCTTAGCTGTGAATCTGTAACTCATTGTCGATCACAAAAGCTGAAGCCTCCAAGACGATATAGTGGTTTTGGTAGATCTTTTCTTTGAAGTTTATCTGGAATTTTCAGCTTTCTCAGAGAATTGAAGAACTTAAGCTAATGTGAAAAGCATGTGCATGAAAGAGAAGGTTTTGATACCTTCTCCTCCGAAGGAAGCTACAACACCGTTTGCTTGCTTGAGGAACTAAAATTGGAATTCCTTGGTGCTTTGTAAGTGGACCAACTCTTAAAATATGCGTCTTCTTATTTTACTACTACTTCACCATACTTGAGCCAAAATAAGGAAGAAAAAGAGTCTCTGATTAAGTGGTCATTATCAATTCAGAAATTTTATTTTCCGATGATTCTTCTGTTCTTCTGATTAAGAGGTAACCACCTAGTCTGGTTCATTCTTCTACCATTTTCCCTGAAAAACCCAAATTTCCGAGGAGCTAATGAATGATTGAGAAGATCAGCTGACTGACTTAGTTCAAATCTTGTCCGGATATGGCCGATTCCTCTGCATGAGTTGATCACCGAATTTGTTACCGTCAATTTTTTTTTTTTTAACACTATGCTTGCATTTTTTTCTTCACTTGGTCCCCATTGTTAGGTTGCTGTTCATGAACTGCAGTTTTGGACTTTGGGGCATTAGCAGGAGTATTAATTCTGTTTTTGATGATCTCCAACTGCATTTATTTACTTCATTATTTTCTTCACGAAACCAGGTTTTCCAATACCATAGTGGTGATCTGTTTTGGAAGATCGTTTGCGAAATAAGCGCAAAGGGAAGAGGAAAAGAGGGAACAAGGTAGGTCAACAGTACCTAATAATCATGGCAAAGAAGTCCCAAAGACGTCCTATGAGGTATGAGAAAGATCAGTCAGGCTGCATGTGGGGCTTTATTAGTATGTTTGATTTTCGCCATGGTCGTGCTGCTCAGAAGTTAATTGCAGATAAAAGGCGTGGCAGCAAGCACGCTTTTGGTAAGAACTCCGCCCTTTTTCTTCCTTGGGTATGAACTATGTTTAACCCCATCCTGGATGTTTTGATCGCCTACGTTTAGATAGGGTTTAAATGTAGTTGTTGTGTTGTACTGATTTTTCTTTAGCAAGTTCATCTTGCCCTTTAACAAAAAAAAAAAAAAAACTATTTAAGATTTTTTTTTCCAAGTTTTATTTTAACATGTTTTTTTTTCCCGTGTGCTGAACTGGTGAAGAAACTGTGAAGTATTATTTGCTAGGAACTTTGTGCCGTATTGCACATCTTTCCTAGAGCCACATTCAATTTCAGAAGTGATTGCACCATGACTGATGTCTGCATGTTTAACAAATTTTCTGAAACAATTCTGAGCTGAAGATTTTTATTTAAATAGGTTCTGCTTTTAAGAATGCGCGCAGTTTGGTGTCCAGCGGAACTGAACTCAATGAATAATTTGAATTTCAATAATTTTTTTTTTCCTGCAGGTTCTGGACATTCAAAAAATAAGTTAGAGATGTTGACCAATTTGGACAAACATTGTGAAGCTGGTAAGCCTAGTGTAAGCAAACTCATGGAGGAAGACATGTTCATTGACAAGGATGCGGTTAACGCAGAAGCAAAATCAAAAGAGTCAAGATTATGCCATGAAGACACCTTGAAGATAGATCCTGGAAGAAAAAAGAAATCTCGCAAGAAGAGCTATGATCTGGGCTCCCATGATTTAAATTCGGACAAAACCTTGAAATCAGAACTCTCACATGGTCAGCATTCAAGAAAGCTGTCTAAAAGTGATCTCGATTTAGAGAAGGTATTGGAGGATTTTAGTCATCTGAAAAGTGCCTTTTCTGTAGCGCATGACCTTGGTGGTGGTGAAGTAAATGAACAATCAAACCAGAAGCGTGTTATTGCGGAAAATGAGGCAAGACGTGCAATCCTTGAATTTGTCAATCAGATGACATTTGATGGAAGAGATCTTGCGGAAGCTAGAAAATTCCTTTGCTCCCATGAATTTATGGATGCACTTCAAATTTTAAGTTCAGATAAGGAATTATTTTTGAGGCTTCTACAAGATCCAAATTCACTTCTGTTAAAATATGTTCAAGAGTTGATCAATACTCAGGTTTCAGATGATAAAGAACACAGTACAATTACCTACTCCAACTTGTCTGAAAATGAGCCAGGTAGTTTGGAACAGAGTAGACAGACTGTCAACCACAAGCACCGCAGCTTCTTCAGGAAGATGGTAAAGTCTCGAGCTAAAGATCAAACAGGTGGACACGAGAATACCGAGTCTTCGAATAGGATTGTTATTCTGAAACCTGGACCAATGGGCTTTCACAATTCCCAAGCCGTGACCGAACTTTCATCATCCTTTGATTCTTATGAAGGTTCTTCTGTGAGAGTTGGTTCACATTTTTCTCTTACAGAGATAAAAAAGAAATTAAAACATGCGATGGGAAAGGAGAGAGATGGAAACCCTGAAAAGATTCCCAAAAAAATTGCTGCTCAATCTCAAAATAAGGGGAAAGGAAACAAAACCATTGGCAAAGATAATTCTGGAATGAAATCTCCTAATAAAGATCATTTTTTCATTGAAAAAATTGCAAGACCGTCCTTTGTTGAGAAGAAAGGAGACAAGAATGGCACGTTGAGAGACTCGGAAGCAGTAATGGAGCATGAAAATGGTAGTTATCCAAAACAAAGGGTTTCTAATATATACACTGAGGCTAAGAAACATCTCTGTGAAATGGTAGGCAATGAAGATGGGAACATGGACTTTTCTGGCAGGAAGGTTTCCAAAACCCTTGGTAGAATTCTATCTCTTCCTGAGTACAGTTTGTCTCCCCTTGGTAGTCCTGGACGTGACTGGGAGCATCAATTTGTGACTGCACGAACAAGACTGTTGTCTCCCAGGCTATCCTCATTCACGGGTCATTTGGAGAAGGAAACAAGCAGTCCAAAGAAGCAGCCAAGTATCTGTAGTGATTCCTCTGATATTAAAGTACAAGACATTAAATTAGAGCTGACTTCTACAGATGACCTTGTTCACGATGGTAAAGCAGATCCAACCTCTCTTCCTAATAGAGATGAGATAGTTCCAGAAGGTACCTTGTTCAAACTATATGGTTTCAGTGATAGATGTTACAATACACCTTGGTAGTTTGTAACATATGTTTTTATTCTTTGATGTTTAGCCTTTAATAATGTTTTTGTGCAGGTAAAGCAGAATCTCCTAAAGAAATAAATGTTTTGGATTCTTCCTCTGAACCAATGGATTCAGAAAACGTCCAAATTTGTGAGATCTCTTCTGAACTGTTTGATGATGCAGGACAGTCTCAATGTCTGAATCAGGTCAGTCTCTTGATGTTTCATATGATATCTAATCAGCATTATGTTGTTCACTCTGTCATCTTTACTAAAAATGCTTGTGATTCGTTGGACTTTTATCTGGATCATTGATTTTGGGGGTATGGTCAAAATAAGTAATAAAGGACTCCAAACATCTCTTGGAAATGATACCCTCTCAAATGTAACATTATATTAAAATATCATTCTCTTTCACAGGATGTATCAGTAGAGAACCAACCGCCATCTCCTATTCACTCTTCTACTCCTAAAAATTCTGAAGATCTAGAGAGCAGTGCGGAAATAGTTGGGCGGCCCAGTCCTGTATCTGTTCTTGATATGCCATTCCCGGAGGATGACATCAGCCCGGAAAGCACCAGGTTTCAACTTGGTAGGTAATCAAGCATCGGAGCCACGATGGACCTTTAGAAAAATGTTCTCTATGCTGCTTTTCCATAAACTAGATTTTGGAATCAAAGTAATTCCAATACTTGAACTCTCGAGTAGAAATTGAAAGCCACATGCTGGTTGCTAGGGTTCTCTATGTCCCATGTTATTTTGACAAAATCTAGAGTAGCGTGAAGAGATTTTTTTTTTTGCCCTCATATTCCTGTCCTTGTCTTTTCCCTGCATCTTGAAAAGTTTGGAAACTGATTTGGAAAATCTTACCATTCATCTTAAAACATTCATGTCAGCATATACCATTTTATTAATCACATTGATTTTAATTTAAGTTGACATGATATTCGTACATGATTTTCAGGTAAAAGGCAATTACAGCCGCTACAAATTCAATTTGAAGAGCATGACTGTTTAAAAATGGATCAAATTGATAGACAAAAACAGTGTGTTGAAGAAAACAAGTTGATATATGACTTTATTAAAGCAATTCTCAATGCCTCTGGCTTCAGTAGAGATCAGTTGTGGATGAGGTGTGTTTCCTCAGACCAGATATTAGATCAATCATTGTCTGATCAGGTAGAGGTTCTCTCAAACCAGCCATGCCATGACCAGAAACTCCTATTCGATTGTGTCAATGAAGTTCTCATGGAGGTTTGCCAGTATTACTTTGGGGTCTCACCTTGTGTATCATTTGTAAAACCTAGCAGCATAAGACTGGCCCCAGATATTATTCTTAAAGTCTGGGAAGGAGTGTGCTGGCATTTGCTTCCTCTATCCCCACCACATACTTTGGACCAAATTGTTAGAAAAGACATGGCAAGAAGTGGAGCATGGATGGATCTTCAGTTTGATGCCGAGCAAGTTGGTTTTGAAATGGGTGAAGCCATTCTTGCAGAACTGATGGAAGACGCAATACTGAACTGTGTAACTGAAAATCTTGAAAGTAAATGTTTTGAGATTCAATGCGAAGCAAATGACAATGAGAGCAGCATCAACATGTAAAAACCAACTGACTTGCATTTGTTTATACGAGCCTGTTAAATCTGACTGAGGTGAGAGGGAAGTTACCAGGCATATGAGGAAATGGTAGCATAATAGGTGAGGATACTGGGCACTAGTAATCTTTGGCGCATCTGACAGTGTTGATCTTTGCTATATTTGACTACCCTAATATCTGAAGAATAACCTGGACGAGGACTATAAAATAAGGTACCTTGCGTCGCAAGTAAAGAGAAACCCAGCGGCAAATGCTTCCACTAAAGCTACGAGGCTTGTTTCCGACAAGTTGTTTACAATCACAAAGTAACCCTTTTTTCCTCCTTTTTCCGGTGTGTGCTTCAGTTACCCTGTGACGGACTAAGGTTTCCAGTTTTAGATATTGTAGAGTTTGATTTGTTGAGCTGGTGGTGTGTTGTAATTTTTTTTCCAATGGTATCTTTGTATATGCCCTTTTGCTATCCTATTTTAGTTTAACAGCTCAAGTTTGGAAATAATAAATTCTGAGTGCAGCTTGATGCAGTTTCCAAGGGAAATAATAAAGTCTGAGTTCATTCCAAGAATATTTGGAACATTATGTTAACTGCAGGATTTGGTGGCTTACGTAATTGCCTTTAGCAAAGTCATGTATCGGAAAAACTTCAACTTTAGTCATCGCTAGAACACTTGTCGTACCATCCGTGGTTGAAATCTTATAAAATCTAACATGTTTCTCATTAATTCAGTATATTTATGTGGCTATTTACAATTTGAGAGGCAGTAGATAGCTTGTCCCACAATTTGGCACAGTAATATCCAAGCTGGAGCTTTCCAACCTGAAAACGTACGAGTTATTACCACACCATACAATAAGCTCTTAACCACACGGCTAATAAAAGAAATTTGAGTTTAATAGCCGCTTTAACATCCAAATATTTTTCTGCCAAAAAAGAGAGGCAAGGCTCACCCCCTCTTTCTTTACCCCTCTCTCTCTCTCACATGTACACGCGACCTCTCCCGTCACAGAAGGGTATCTAATTTCACTTTATACGTCATTTTTTATATTCTTCCACCACACGTAATCACTTCTCTTCTTTCATCCTCCTCACACCATTCACCATAAATTCCAAGCATTCTTCACAACTGCTTACTCTTAGGAGTCCCGTGTGTGTGTGAGAGAGAGAGAGGGGGAGGGAGATAGAGAGGCTTATGTTGCTTTTAAAAGAGAGAAAAGAATGAGAACAAACAGTTTTGCGAGTCTTGCTTTCTCAGCTGAATCAATTAGGAGAGTGAAGAAATATTGATTAGCTCGGTGGGAATTCAGCCGAGTTAATCGTGTAAGTTAGGGAGTTGTTCATTGTGTGGTACAATTAAGATCCTTAGGATGAATTGTATGAATTTAATTATCTCTTCCGATGTGTTTATAAATAAATTATTACCTTTCTATAAAGAGCTATGAAAGTCAAGAGCGAAGCATATAGGAACATATATACACCACATGCATAGATGGGCTGCAGCTGGGAAATCTTAAACCGAGTTCCAAACTTCACTCGTACGAGAACATGCCTTTTACTCCTACAAGCAAGTATTTGACTTATTATATTAATATTTATGCCCTCTTTTTAGTTAAATTAAATATATTTTGTACAAGTGTACTATGTCACATTACATATGATTCAACCATCTTTGATGAGCATAGTTTTTAATGAAACTCAAATTTATAACCACAAATTTGTTGATTCAAATATCATGTTCGTTGGCAAACCCCAAAAAAAAAAAACTGTTATAGTTGGTTTTATTTGTTTCATGTATAATTAGTGATAAAATATCTAAACTTATATTTCATTCTTCGGATATAAAAGATTCTATGTAATCAATCATTACTGATACATCTTTCATTGAAACTAATATACCTGCAATTCATATTTTCAATGGTTTAATAAACAAAATATTAAAATAGTTTCACACATATTTGGTACCTAGTTGTAGTTTTTATTTGCAAATACCAAGTAGTAGAACTTGAAAGTCTTTGACTATGCTTAATATGTCGAATAGAATTATGAAAGCGATGGCGTATTAGCAGTTTGTTTTCTTTTTTCTCTCAATAAGCCAGAACTGGGAGGGAGTGCCCGTTATGCAGTTCATAATCATTGGTTCACACCAATTTGTCTTTTTCGTATTTTTAGTTTCCGCTCTGGAGTCCATGAGTTTTGTTTTTGTCTCGATAGAAAGATACGGATACTCCCTGTCATCAACGCATGAATCCAACAACATTCTTCTTTTCCTTCTTCTTGTTCTGCTCTTCCTAACATCTCCATTTCCATTCATCAAAAAAAAAAGGGAAAAATTGATAGCCCTCGTTGACATTTTTACCCCCACTGAAATCCAATTATCCCCTGAGCTTGTTTACAACAGTATCAATATCATCAGGGCAAAAGAGGAATAAGATGAAGCAGTGAAATTTAATATTTTTATAACTACAAGATCCCTCCTTCTTCGGCCTTTATTCCATCACAGGAAGCAACAGAGGCCTCGGCGTTATCACCTGCAAACATCAAGAGTCAAAGCACTCATAGCTTGAGACCTTTCTTCTTTCTTCTTCGCATCTCTCTTACATTCTCTCTATACCACGGTGCTTCGCGGACTTTTCTCTCAAAATTCAAACTTTTCTTCTCAAGTATGCACCAATTTTCGATTTGATGTTCAATTTTTATACCCATTATTCTGTTTTTCGATGGTCCTTGCTTGTTTGCGTAATTGCCATTGAAAAAAAATCTAGCTTTCTTCACGTCAGGGGTCCCAATTTTCAGCTTCACAATCAGCTCGCGTGGCACTTTTTCAAGTTGAAAAATCAGAATTAATCGAAAAACCCTAGCTTCGGATCGTGCTTTGAACTTCATGTCTTGGCAACTGTTTAGTGTTAGATATGATTTATAGGGTTGCGCAAAATTATGTTCAGAATCTTTTATAATATAATTTTAGAATATAATTGGGTTTTAACGTTTAGTTCAGAGTTTTGGATGATTCAATTTATCTCACATATGTTGCAGCTTCTTTAAGAAGTTAGTTTAAACGGTAGCGTGCCATGAACAAGTTGGCGAGTTAAGTTTGGAGAGCAAAAAGTGCAACATGAGGGTATTTCCTTTTATGGTTTTAAGCGTATGCTTATGGATCAAAAGTAATTTCGTTATTCTATGCAATGAAGCTTTCTATTGTTTCTTAAAAATAATAAATATAGCTTAGAATTATAAATTGTCGCAGTTGTAAAAGATTAAAAAAAATGTATCAGTTTTTATTACTGGGCGAGGAGTTTGTATTTTAGTGCAAATTTTTATCAAACTTACAAAGAATTATATAATGCCCCTTGCCTCCTCTCCCCTTTTATTTTTGTTGGAACTCCTGTGTAGAAAAACAATATTAATAACTAAAGGTTTCAACTTTCTATAATTATACTTTATCTGAAAAATCCAATGTTTCATTATTTATTTATTCACAGCACTTTTGTTGCCTTGATTAAACTAGTAGGCTATTTATTTGCTTTTCAGGATATTTCTAAAATTTTCCAATTGCTTGCCTGAATGTTCGCATTTTTCCAAGATTCATGAACTTTAAATTGTGAATTTGTTCATATTTTTATTTGCTATAGCACCCAGGGTAGATTTTTCTACTGTGGGAACTTAATTCAGTTTCAAATGCAGTGTAGAGGTTTGGATTTTGATTTCTTTCATAATCCAGAAAAATGTTTTATGCAAACTAAATCTATATATTATTTTAAAATTTGTTTGCATTGGGCCTCGTGTAGTGCCTGAGTTACGCCTTTTGGATAATTGATGCCTAGCTTTCATAATGGCTCATGTCATACAAGTCTAACAGTGATACTCTGTCACCTTGGTTGCCTTGAGTGAAGTCACATGTTTGGTATATATAGTGTTTGTTCCACAAAAACTTCTGTGTGTGTGTGTCCTTCAGCAGTTTTAAGTCCATTGTTGCGTAAATTTGATGCCTGAGGATATTGGCTGGCTCTAATCCAGTTGTCAGTTATTAATCTCCTTTACTTTGCTACTGTCTTTTCTTTGATGAGGACTTGTTTAGCTTGCTTAGTTGACTTTACTTGGAAATAACTTGGCGGACGTTTCAATGATGCAGTTTAGCTATTACAGCTACTTGTATTGCTTTGATGTTGTGGGCAGTATGCTGATAATTGTTGGGGGCAATGCAAAGGTATCATACTGGCAGCTCCACTGGTGCAGTTAGCAGCAGTGCCCTAAGCAGACAATCTGTTAGGGACACTGGAAGAGCTGATTCATCTTCCTTGCTTTCTAACTATTCTGTAAGTTCAAGGTAAGGGAACTTCCTACTGGTCAATATGTGCTTAACGATCTCCTTAGCCTATAACGAACTAAAATTAATTTTTTTATATGGTTTAGTTTTCTTTTCTATTGATCTATTTATTTTCAGTGTTCTTTGGTGGTCGGAAGGGAAAGTAAAAATAGGTTTCCTATGTATTAGCCACTAACGAGTGCCCATCATCTGGAAGCTGTTGTCATTGTAAATTGTATTAGTTGTGAGAGATTAGTGAATGCAGAGTTGTAAAGCTCCTATTTCTTTTTTTTTTTTTTTTGGTGAACAAACGAATAAACCCAAAATTACATTCTGATTACACGTGTAAAGCTCCTATTTCTTCTATTACGTATCATTGACACTTGAAAAGAAGAGCCTTTTCCATGTCTACGACATGTCCAATACTTGTCTTAGACATGATGCACTCTAGATTATATATGAATAGTGAGATTTAGTAATCAGATTGAGCTTTACCCATGCTTGCTACATCTGTACTATATGGCTCAAGTTTGGAACCTATTTTTCATCGTGAACCTGCTAAATAATGCCTTCTATTCTTTGTGAGATTATTGTCCTTAAGAGTTTAGAACGATGGAAGAAGGTAAATACTGATCCTTCTGGCGTAACTGAAAAAAATGGTCAAGTACCTTTAATGATGTGAAGTTTTAAAATTTAATGTCTCCCATTATACTGCATTTCATATTCAGATTGGGATCAATTCATCATGAAGCCTTGAACACTTGGCTTCCAATAGAGTATAATACGTTACCATGAAGTAACTTTGTCATAGTTTCTCATCACGGGGGACGCCAATCCCATGGCTTAGTTCATAACTGAAAGATCTCTTCCTTTCGTCTGTTACTGGATTACACCAACATGAAGTATCTTTTGAACTTCCATATTTGGTGAAATATATAATTTCGTATCTCAAAAATCAAAATTAGAGAGAAGTGTCAGTAGTTCTGCTAAGTCATGTTATATCTTTTTCCATCCTTTTCTGTGTTTTGGAACATGACTTGCCTTTTTCTTTTTTTAAACCACTGTTTTATTTCTGCGCTTCATGAAGAACTTTGAATTCATGCTTTTACACCATAAGCTTATGGTTTCTAGGTAGTGTAAACCATTGAAGGGTAGGTCTGTTATGCTGGTGGAGCTGGGGTCTTTTGAGTAATTGGATTGGTGGCATGGATCTTTCGTCTTTGTCTGTTTAGTCCAGAACTGCCTACCTAACATGGTCTCACAAGGACTTTAGATGTAAAACTAGATTGGAGCAATTGGAGGTTACAAATTTCTATATTTTAATCCAACCAAATTTGGCCCCAAAAAAAAATAAAAATCCAACCAAATTGTGTATAAGAGCTGGATTTCAAAACGAACATACCCTGTCTTTGAAGCATCACTTTTAACTTTTTGTAATTTGCTAATTTAATTTATGCTAAATCAGTAATTTTTTTCTTTCCTGCCCATCCCTCTTGATAAAATGGTTTTGTATTTACAGACGACAACCTCAGCTAAACCCATACAAGTTGAAGTGTGATAAAGAGCCTCTAAACACCAGGTATGTCCAATTAATACTGGCACGTGCTTTCAAATAAGAGTTGTTTTTAGTCCTGAATAATGATAATCTTAGGCCCCTTTTGGAGTTAAATTTGCATGCGTGTTGTTTTAGTCACTCGAAGGCAATAAGTCGCAAGGTTTAAAACTTGGTAGTTATTAAATTGGTATCATCTTTTTTAGCTGCATTTTAAAATATTAAATGACTATTTTAAATCTCAGACTTGGGTCACCAGACTTTTTTCCCCAAGCACCAAATTGCCCCGAGGAGACTCTGACAAGAGGCTATGTGCAATCTGGATATAGGGAAACGGTTGAGGGCCTTGAGGTAGATCTCTTTGTTTTGTATTGGTTATAGAAACAAGATCAGATAATGCGAAGTGCTGATTTAACTTTGTATCGTTTTTTTTTCCCTGTACATATCAATTTATTGATTTTGTCACCAAGGGTTGAGATTTGAGGGAGATTCTCTTAAGCTGTGCCATTCATTGGAACATTTTGTTGGCTGAATTTATTTGATGCGTGCTAAAACCATGTCATGACTTTTTAATTTTATTTTCTTAAGTAACTAGCATCAATCCCATGTACTTGCACAGAGATTGTATAGAGTACACGGAGATTGCACAAAAATTGTATTGGTGATACAAACATTGTAGAGGTTGCAAAAAATTTTCTTTTAAACAGCACGAAGTCCAAAAAACTAAGCTGTGAAGTGAAACAAATCAAGAGTGACATCAATAAATAATTGAAAATATTGTTTATAATTTTACTTTTATGCAATATATTGTTTTTTTTTTTTTTGTAGCTTTTATAATTTTACTTTTATGCACTATACTGGTTTTTTGTAGCTTTTTTTCCTTGAATTTTCTTTTAACCAATATCTTTCTTTTTCCTCAAGAGCCTAGTTAGATTCTGACGTAGCACTTAATCTCATCATGATGATGATCGTCTCCTCCTTTGACAAATTGTTGAATATCAGTTGTTAGTTTCTTTTAGATCAGATAATTGTGCTCTTCTCTGGTATCTACAGTTTACAGTTTTCTGATTTTACACTTTATGTGTCTGCCAGGAAGCTAGAGAAGTTTCATTGAATCAGGTTTCAAATTTCAACAAGGCAGTTATTATAAATTGTAAAGAGGTGGCTTCCTTATCCTTTTAGAATTTGTTGGTCCATTCTATTTGTTGTTGTTTCTTATAAGCATGGCATGCGATCACTGCACATCCTCTGCGTTTTATGTGCACTCTCCAAAGCTGTTAGAATGTTGTTGAACACCGTTGTCTTCTTTCCAGGCTGTTAAGAAACGTCTAAGGGCCATTAATGAATCTCGTGTTCAGAAGCGGAAGGTGATATTTTCTTTTTGAGTCTGTTATTTTTTGTGAAATGCTTGTTTCCTTTTGCTTCGTTGAATCGACTGGGCTCTGGCTTTAACCCATCTGAGATTGTCGTGAAGGTTTTGATCTGCATTACAGTTCTTGCTATTGACAGGCTGGTCAGGTCTATGGGGTGGCTCTTTCAGGAACCCAACTCAACAGGCCTGGCATCTTCCCTGAACAAAGGCCAGCTGGTGAAGACTTCCGTGAAAAATGGATTGAGGTATTCTCAGTGGCCGTCCTGTTCCTATGGCTTTCATCTTTGTCTAACTTTCCTTTATAGCAATTGTGCCCCATTGGTGTTTATTTGCTTGAAGTTCGGTGAGAAAAGTTTTGAAAGAAATGGATTGAAGTATGCTATTGAAAGTCCTGCTGACGTGGCTTCATTTGTTGTTTCACTTCCCTTTGTAACAGTTATACCTCATTGGTATTGCATTGTTATAAGTTCTTGATGATGTATATGAGCCGAGGGCAAGAGTTAGTTGTATTTCTGGATAGATGGTTCTAGACTCTAGTCTTGATCCAAGTTGGGGGATTATAAAACTATTGGGTCCAGAATAAGTTATGAGGATTAGTTCTGTACAGGCTATGCAGTGCATGTATTCCACAGTTAACCATTCATGAATTCAGACATTCCATACAACAAATTTATCAGCTTATTGTTGTCTTGGTTGATTTGCCTGTTCGATCCTTGAGGAAATTCTTTAATGATACTCTGTCCTTTTTCTAAACAAATTGTTGTCTTGTGATAGTGCTTTTGGAGCTACTGGCACTACTTATACTCACAAAAAGTTTTGTTGCAGGGCTTGTCTCAGCAGCACAAGCGTCTACGCTCTTTGTCTGATCATGTTCCTCATGGATTTAGAAAGAAACTGCTTTTAGAAGTTCTTATCAAGAATAATGTGCCATTGTTAAGGGCAACTTGGTTTATCAAAGTTACTTATCTGAATCAGGTAGAGATGCATGACCATCACCATTTAAAAAATATATATATAAATAAATGTCATAAGTTACCTTATCATTTTTTATACAAAATCATATAGGAAGGTGGATTATGGTTGAATTTTGTAGGTTCGGTCTGGTTCTGCTAGTATTTCTTCAGGGATTGCTGCTCGTTCTGAGAATTGGACCAAAGATGTTGTTGATTACTTGCAATCTCTTCTGGATGAATTTATCTCCAAAGATGCTTCTGATCCTGCCCATTCTAGTCGTGATTGTTCACCACAAATGCACCATGCAGGATCATTGCAGCACAGAAGTGACCGTGGCTCATCAGTCTCTGATAATGGGGAGCCATCTGTGTATTTTAAATGGTGGTATGCCGTGCGGCTTTTGCAATGGCATCATGCTGAAGGGCTGCTTCTTCCCTCTCTTGTTATTGATTGGGTTCTGAATCAACTACAGGTAATGATGTTACCTCTTAGTTATTCTGAACACTTTCTTTTCCACACTACTGATTTTTTGTGATTACAAAAAGAAAAGTGAGCTTCCTTTTTTTTTTTTTAAAATTTAATTTTTAATCTTTTTCTTAATTTCATGTCTCCAATTCTTAATGTTTCCATTCTTGTTACTTTCAGGAAAAAGCATCCACAGAGATTTTGCAGCTGCTATTGCCTATCATATATGGCTTTTTAGAAACTGTTGTTCTGTCTCAAACATATGTACGTAATCTTGCTGGAATGGCTCTTCGAATCATCTGTGATCCTGCTCCAGGAGGATCAGATCTTGTAGATAATTCTCGGAGGGCATATACAACTTGTACTCTGATTGAGATGCTCCAGTTTTTGATATTTGCTGCACCAGATACATTTGTTGCTTTGGATTGCTTTCCTTTACCATCTTCGGTTGTTTCACATCCAGTAAATGATGGAAGTTTTACGCTGAAAGCATCTGAAGTTGAAGGGAAGATAAAAAGTAGTTCAGAAGATGTTACCTGTCTATTTAAGAGTAAAGGATTTGATTCACGATATCAATCATTGGCATTTGATCACATAATTTCATGCATTCAAAAGCATGCACATGATCTTGCAAAGGCTACAAGCTCAGTCTATCCAGGTCATTGTCTGGCTAAAGCTGTACAATCTTTGGACAAATCTCTTGGGGTGGGTGATGTATGTGGAACTTATAAACTCCTTTTTGATGATCGATGTGATGGAACTGTGCATGAAGGTTGGGCTGCAAAAATTAGCCCTTGCTTGAGATTATCGTTGAAGTGGGTGGGCACCATAAATTCTTCATTTATGCATTCAGTGTTTGTCCTTTGTGAGTGGGCAACATGTGATTTCAGGGATTTTCGAACTGCTCCTCCATGTAATATAAAACTCACAGGCAGGAAAGATCTTTCTCAAGTGCATATAGCAGTTAGACTTCTAAAGATGAAGTTGAAGGATATGTATGTTTCACGAAGACAAAAGAATAGAAGCATTAACAGAATTATGAAACTGGCAAAATCTCCAAATCTGCGGACTCCTCGAAAGTTAATGTGTAATATATTAAAAGTAAAACTGAACTCAAAACATAGTGACTCAAGTTCTAATTCTTCACTTATATTTGAAAGCCCAGGGCCTTTGCATGATATTATAGTTTGTTGGATTGATCAGCATTCAGTACATAAAGGGGAAGGTCTCAAACGCCTAAATCTATTCATAGTGGAACTCATACGAGCAGGGATTTTTAACCCCTTCGCATATGTGCGGCAGCTAATTGTTAGTGGGATCATGGATATGAATGTAAATTTGGTTAACCTGGAGAGATGTAAAAGACACTACCGAATTTTGAAGCAGCTTCCTGGTGACTTCTTGCATAATGCTTTGGAAGAATCAGGGATTGTTGAAGGAATGCTGCTAGAGGAAGCCTTGCAAATTTACTTGAATGAACGTCGGCTTATACTCCGTGGTTCGTTTAGTGAACAATGTGATGCTGCTGCTGCTATTCCATCTTCATTTAAGCAAAAGCACAATCCATCTTCCGCAAAGGATGCAGCTTCTACATTCAGAGATGTTGAAGAATTGAAAGCAGCCATCACAGCACTATTACAACTGCCTAGCACTTTATCAGATTTGGGTGATGCAGGGTTGGATGAATCTCAGGGAAGTGTTCGAAGTATTTTGTCTCCTTACAGCAAGATTGATCCTGTGGAAGGTACACTTGGTTGTGAAGAATGTAGAAGGGCAAAGAGACAAAAAATAAGTGAGGAACGAAACTCATCTGTTCAGGGTCATTCAATAGTTTTATCTGATGAAAAAGATGCTTGGTGGATTAAGAAGGGGATGAAATCTTTGGAGTCTCTCAAAGTTGATGAACCAGTGAAGTCAACCAAGCAACCTACCAAGAGCCGGCATAAGAGTGTTCATAAAACCAATAGTCTTGCTCAGCTGGCAGCTGCCAGAATTGAGGGTAGCCAGGGGGCATCAACAAGCCATGTATGTGATAATAAGGTAAGTTGCCCTCACCATAAAACTGCAATGGATGGGGATATGCCAATGTCGGTGGATGGAATCCAAGCAATTCCCTACGAGGATATTGTCTCAATTGGAAGAGATCTTAAACGGCTTCGCTTTGTTGAGAAACGGGCAATAGCAATTTGGCTGGTGAATGAAGTCAGGCTGCTAGTTCAGGCAATTGAAAAGAATACTGGTCAAATTGGCCAGTTTGGCCGGCCTTTTGCTGTTGCTGATGATAGAAGCACAATACGATGGAAACTTGGGGAGGATGAACTTTCTACAATACTTTATCTGATGGATATCTCTGATGATTTAGTGTCAGCAGTCAAGTTCCTTCTATGGTTGCTGCCGAAGGTTCCCAGTAGCCCCAGCTTTACAATTCATAATGGGAGGAATGTTCCAGTGATGCCAAGGAATGTAGATGGCCAAGTTTGTGATGTGGGAGAGGCTTTTTTGTTATCATCACTGAGAAGGTTTGCACTCAATTCAATTTAATTAAATGGTTTTGTTCGTGAATGGTGCCAAATCTTTTTTACTTTTTCCTTCTGTTGTCAGTTCATGTAGGTTTTGTTTCTTTCTCAATAACTTGTTTCCTGATTTTGTTTTTTAAATTATTGTCAGCTTTCTTTGCCTAATGCTATATACTATTTATTCTTTGATCATTTTTTCCTTGTAAAAGAAGCTTGCAAGCTGTTCTCTCATTGTGTTTCTTTTCCTTCTCGACTTTGCCACCTAAACTATAGACTGGTGTTGTGCCGTAAAATTCTACATAACATTTCACAGCTACTGAGACTTGTACAAACACAAGCCTTTTTCTATCCATTCAAAACACGAATGATTATTTTAATGTATAAAAGGAAGATCTGATATTTGAAAGAATTAGTAGGCTGTTTCTTTTTGGATTGCTGAACCTCTGGTGAGGTGTCTACGACTTCATATGAGCTTCCATGCTTATTTCACTTCATGGAATTAAGCTTTATCTTTTCATTGAGACTTCGTGAGTATTCTTTGTCTCTTTATATATATTGTCGTTTATTGACTGTTCTTTATTTGATATCTGGGATTTGAAGTAATTTTTTGAATCTTATCCTCTAACATTGCATTTGGTGCAGGTATGAGAACATTCTTGCTGCTGCCGATCTTGTTCCCAAAGCTCTGTCAGCTGCGATGCATCGTACCACAGCCATTATGGCATCCAATGGAAGGATTTCAGGTTCAGCGGTGCTAGCCTTTTCTTGTTATCTATTGAAGAAATATAGCAATGTGGCTAGTGTCATTGACTGGGAGAAGACTTTTAAGGCTACAAGCGATAGAAGACTTTCTTCTGAGCTTGATTTTGGAAGGTCAATGGATGGAGAGTCAGGGTTTCCCCTGGGAGTTCCTAAGGGAGTTGAGGATCTTGATGACTTTTTCCGTCAAAAGATAACTGGGGGCCGTTCATCCAGAATAGGATTGGGCATGAGAGACATAGTGCAACGTAATGTAGAGGAGGCATTGAATTATCTTGTTGGAAAGGAAAGAAAGCCCGTTGATGGGGCACCAAAAGGTCCTGCTATGGAAAAATGGGATAATGGATATAAAATTGCTCAACAAATAGTTACTGGTTTAATTGACTGCATACGGCAGACTGGTGGTGCTGCTCAAGAAGGGGATCCCTCTTTGGTCTCTTCTGCTGTTTCTGTCATTGTTGGTAGTGTAGGGCGAACTATAGCAAGAATACCTGATTTTTCAGTTGGAAATAGTCATTCAAGCACACTGGCTACAGGTTCACTGAACTATGCTAGATGCATTCTGCGAATGCATATAACATGTCTGTGCCTACTTAAGGAAGCTCTAGGAGAACGCCAAAGCCGTGTATTTGAGGTTGCTCTTGCAACAGAAGCTTCTACTGTTCTTGCTGGAGTTTTTGCTCCTAGCAAAGCATCCCGTGCTCAGTTTCAAATGTCTCCAGAAGGCCATGATGCTGGTATCAGTATTTCAAATGATAGTGTAAACAACTCAAGTAAAGTTGTATTCGGGAGAGCAACAAAAATTGTGGCTGCTGTCTCTGCACTTGTTGTTGGTGCTGTTATATATGGTGTTTCCAGCCTGCAAAGAATGGTAACAGTCCTCCTGTTGAAGGAGGGTTTGGATGTAGCACAATTTGTAAGAAGCACAAGATCTAATTCAAATGGAAATGCACGATCAGTTGGTGGTTACAAGGCAGATAGTTCAATTGAAGTTTATGTCCATTGGTTTAGATTGTTTGTTGGGAACTGCAGAACCATCAATGATGGATTAGTGGTGGAACTTTTAGGTGAACCATCTATTATAGCACTTTCAAGGATGCAGCACATGCTTCCTCTTAGATTAGTCTTTCCACCTGCCTATTCCATGTTTGCTCTTGTTCTGTGGTGGCCATTCATTATGAATTCTCATTCTGTAGCCCGTGAAGACATGAATCAACTTCATCAGTCTCTATATGTTGCCATAAATGATGTAATAAAACATTTACCTTTTCGAGATGTATGCTTGAGAGATAGTCAAAGTCTCTATGATTTTATGGCTGCAGATGCAAGTGATGCTGAATTTGCAAAGTTGCTAGAGTTGAATGGTTCGGATATGCATTTCACTTCCAAGGCATTTGTTCCTCTCCGTGCAAGGCTTTTTCTGAATGCGATGATTGATTGTAAAATGCCACAATCTATGCTTCCTCAGGATGATGGAAGCGAGATTTCTGGATATGGTGAATCCAAGCTTCGGGACAAGATAGTGCATGTTTTAGATAACCTGCAACCTGCTAAATTTCACTGGCAATGGGTTGAACTTAGGCTGCTTTTAAATGAACAAGCTCTTGTTGAGAAACTGGAAGCAACTGATATGTCCTTAGCTGATGCTATACGTTTGTCCTTCCCTAATCCAGAGAAGTCTGCTTCTGCTTCTGAGAACAAGAACAATTTTATTGCAATAATTCTCACTAGGTTACTGGTAAGGCCTGATGCTGCATCCCTTTTTTCAGAGTTGATTCATCTTTTTGGGACGTCGCTAGAGGATTCGATGTTGCTGCAGGCCAAATGGTTCCTGGCTGGCCATGGTGTTCTTTTTGGTCGGAAGACCATTAAGCAATGGTTAAATAATATTGCGGAGAGTAAAGGCCTTTCTGTTAAGGCCCAATATTGGGAGCCCTGGGGTTGGTGTAATCCTTGTACTGAACTGGGGGCCAACAGGGAGAAGTTTGATACTGCATCTTTTGAAGAAGGAGAAGTTGTTGAAGGGGGGATGGAGCTGAAAAGGTGCTTGAAAAGTTTTCCTCAAGTGATTGACCAACTGCATGTGACTGAGAGGGCTCTTGTTGAGTTAATTATTCCTTGTATAGATCAAAGCTCTGATGAAACTCGCAATTCATTTGCAAGTGATTTGATTAAACAATTGAATAGTATTGAGCAACAAATTTCTGCAATTACTCGTGGGCTAAGCAAGCAATCTGGAAATACTCCTCCTAAAATTGAAGGTCAGACTAATAAAGTTAATAGCCGCAAAGCTACAAGAGGGGGCAGCCCTGGATTAGCTAGGAGACAAACAGCCGCAACAGATTCTTCTCCACCTTCTCCTGCAGCTTTACAAGCTTCTTTGTCATTACGTTTGCACTTCATCATGAGATTTCTTCCTATTCTTTGCACAGATGGGTAATATATTATCAAAATTTTAATCTTTATTTGCTTTCTTAAAAAAAAATTTAAAAAAAAAATGATGTATTAATCATGATTGTCTTGAACCATGTGTCAATTGTTACTTATTTTTGAAGTTGTGCTTGTACATTTACTTCATTTTTTGCCCTTTAATTTGCATACCCTTTGAATTTCCTTGAAATGCATCCACAATGGAGATAAATGCATCATAGGTTGTTTTTCTTGGCAGGATAAGGCTTTTGTTGTTGTTGTTGTTTTTTTATAACTAATGTATACCTGGTGTATTAAGAAATGTGGTGTTGTGACTGCTGCCACTAGTGATGATAGGTTGTGCTTTGTTGTATCAAAGGGATTTCCTTTGTTTTTTAAGCAAGCCACATCAGAATTTCTAGTTTTTTTGGAACAACTTTTGCATACTATGATACAGTTTATCTGAATTGCATGTTGAATTTTGCAGGAAGCCATCTCTGCGGAATATGAGACATGCACTTGCCTCTGTAATTCTTCGTCTCCTTGGTAGCCGGGTTGTGTATGAGGATGCAGTTATATCTGTCAATGCCCTGCGTGGTTCTCAGTTGAAGAGGGAGGTGGAATCACCTTCCAAAGCTTCTGCTGGTCCTGTAGAGATTTCTGTTGAGGGCCTCTTTGATCGCATGTTGTTTGTTTTGCATGGATTATTGAGTAGCTGTCTTCCAAGCTGGCTTAGGTCGCCAGTTTTTTCAAAGTCGACCAGTGACACTACCTGGGATATTTCTGGATTTGATCAAGAGTTGCTGGAGACTCTGCAGGTCTAATCACTCAGCCTATGAATCTGTGGCTTTTCATCTTTATTTACTATATAACCTTTGAGTTGGCAATACTAAAACTACACTTTTGATATCGCCTTGGGATGGAGTTAACAAGATGACATTATATAATTTTCTTGCCAATTTGGATATTTTATATTCACAAAAGTGAACGTTTATGGTGCATTTGGAAAAATATAGAGGGGAAGAATTGGTAAGTATAAAAATGGGATATAAAATTCATATATAGACAGTCTTCTGTCATTCTTTCTATAAATATTGGAAGTACAATTTGGTCTTCTTGCGTATATAATAATCTGTTGTGTGATACAGAATGACTTGGACCATATGCAACTGCCAGGTGCTGTAAGGTGGCGTATCCAGGCTGCAATGCCAGCACTTGTTCCCTCTATGCGCTGTTCCTTGTCCTGCCAGCCGCCATCCGTTCCAGTTTCTGCACTTTTTCCCCTCCAACACCGCACAGCAAAGCCTGTGTCTAACTCCACTAGTTCAAACACAAGAAACCCAGTTTCATTAAGAACTGCTGCTACCACGTCTGGGAAGTCAAAACAACAGGACAATGATTTGGAAGTTGACCCTTGGACGCTTCTAGAAGATGGAGCTGCGAGTAGTACGGCTACTGCAGGAAGTGGTGACCATGTTAATCTTCAAGCCGCAAGCTGGCTTAGAGGGGCTATTAGGGTGAGACGGACAGACCTTACGTACATTGGTGCTGGGGATGATGAGACTTGATTCTAACATACTCTTGCTTCCAAATAAGTGCTGGTGTATTATTTGATCCGTGCATGAGCACTGGCATGAAGATGCTGGTCCATGCATGCCCTTCTCCATTGTTATTTTATGTTGAGCCGTAGATGAAGTGGTGGTGGTGTCGGCATGGCTTGCCCCATCTCCATTGGCTCCAGCCTGGTTGACTACCAACTAACCCATAGACCACCCTGATCCGGACTGCGCATTGCCCGGCATGGTCGGAGGTTTGTATATATAGGCATGAGATGCATATTTTTTCCCCTATCTAACTTTTATAGAGCATAGGAGGGGTGTTTCAGCTCCATTTGCTCCTAGGAGCCTGCTTAAGCCATTTCTAGCTGCTTCAGGCTTATTTTCATCTGTGGTCCTGTTTGGATCATGGAATACAAATGTGAATGAAAATAAAGGTTTTGACTTCAAAAGGAAGAATTGTTTTATGTATAACCAAAACTATGCATGGATAAAAAAAGTAAAGACGAACGTGTTTTTGTTTACATCAAAATGTGGGAATGTAATATTAACATGCTTCATTTTTTCACAAAAACAAACTGTTTTGTTAATTTTTAAAGAAGGCCGTAGATCACTGAACTATGCGCTTGCCTTTACTGCCTACCCTTGCCTTTCTGCCTTGACCTCCAGCACCTGCGCTTCTGTCCATGAGATGGCTGAATTATAATTTAATATTGCTTAAACCATTAATTCTAAATTTTAAGAAGTCAAACGTAATTCTGGAAAAAAAAACTATTCATGTAGTTCGAAACTTCGAAGAATGATAATGTTATAGTGTCGTTAATTTCAATTTATATATTTTGTTTTCTTGAAAGAATTTAAATTACAAAGTAGAATAAGATTATAATAAAAATTGAAATAACTAAATAATTTTAAATTTACTATTTTGTAAGTGGTACAAACGACAGTTGGCTATTTAGTAACTGTTGTTTCCCAAAAATTGTCAAAGGATTACAAGTTAGAGTTGGTGAATTATAGAGCTCCAAATCAAACTTCTCATACTATTTTAGAATTTTAAAATATTATGAAATAACAATATTTTCTTTATTTCTGGTGATTACTTTCATATAGTTATCGATTATTTTAGTTTTACTATTGACTACTTTTGTTTTCAAAGTTGTAAATGTAATGACTACTTTTGTATAACTATTAGCCGCACAAAAGTAGTAAATAAATAAAAAGTAGTTACTAGATCTCCAACAACATTTAGTGTATTTTTTGAATTTTTAAACAAAAATAGTCAATAACAAAATTAGAGTAGTCAATAGTTAAATAAGAATAATTACTAAATTTATAAAAATAAAAATAGTCAATCGCAGTACTAAATAAACATGAATAGTCATCAAAATTCAAAAAATAAATATAGTCAATAACTAAAAAAAATAATCAATACATAAAACAAATAGTAGTCGTCGAAACTCCAGTGACTGGTAATTGGAATTTCAATGACATGTTGCTAAAGTTCTAAGAGTCAAAAACCAGCTAAAGGTGATGAGGTGGTAATATTTAAAAAGAAAAAAAGAAAAAAAATAGTGAAGGATATTTGTGTAATTTTACAAGATTTGGAAATTTCAAATAATATAAGGGGTCTGAATTGAAATTTTAAAATTCACCTATGCTGATTTATCATTTATTAATTTTTAGGGTTTTTTATTATCCTTTTCCCTCTTTTTTACTCCCATTGCTGTCCCTGGCGTCATTCATTAACTTTTAGAAGTGAGAGAAGTATATTCTTTTTATTGGCCTGAAGATAAAAGCATGCTCTTAATCCTTATAGTATTCGACCATCACACTCATAGAAATTAACCCACATGACATATAATTTGTTTTCATTTTAGATGTTAGCTTTCTACTTCGATTTTTTTGGAATATGATAATAGACAAAGATAAATTGATACTATCTCTAGTTCAAAATGTAAGCTAAACTTTATTAGAGGGGCTTGGTTTTTTTTATAAAATAACATTCAATTTTGTCTAAGTAGTTAGTACGTTTTTTCCAATTTTACCTCATATATTCTCTTTCTTCTTTAATTCATTTATTGTATTTTTTACTTATTTTTTTCATTAATAAAAGTGTATTTTGAAAAAAAAATATCTTGCATATTTATTGTTTTAAACTGATTTTAACTAATTTTTTGATAAACGTAAATGGATAAACTTTTAACTTATATTTTGAATCGGAGAGAGTATTAAATTGTGATATGGTAGTTTGATTTTATCCTTATTACAGCAAGAAAAAATGTTCTGCAATATTACCTCTGGTCATAATTATAAAATCTCATTTATAGTCTATAAACAAAGTTTTATAATTAGATTCAAAAGTAATATTAATAATATAAAACGAAATTAACTACAGTGCAGCTTTTGGTTAAATAAGTACGGCCTCTTAAAAGCCAAATGCTAGTAGATATTTCGATTCGTTTTAATCAATAATCAGCACTAAGTTGAAGATAAGGCACACCACGGACACTTTTAGGCGATCGTGGTTAAATTGGAAGTGTCTATGTTTACATTAAAGTCACACTGGTATTACAATCTAAGTTTCTTCCTTTCTCCACACGCACACAATAAATCAAAATGCTTTTATTCAGTACTAACAAGAGAGTGAAGAATCTTCAAATCATAAAATCACTTGTACCGCTTAATCTTTTGTGATTTGTTTTTCTATTTTAAAAGGAAGCTGCTATAAAGATGCTTAAATCATCATATCGAATATGAAAGCAGTCATATGTATTACAATTAACAACTAAGCCGTATATATTTTGCATGGGAAAGCATCTCATACAAATATCAATTTACGAATCTATGATGCAATGCTGAAAACAGCTTATAACCCCATTTGGGATCTCTATACATCTTGATTCCTCACTGATTTATCAGCATAAAGAACATCCTCAATCCAAGCAACAATGTTGAATGCTAGGCCTTCCAATACTCTAGCGTAGCTCTCTAGTATTGCTTTCCCTACGTCCTGCACAAGAAAGTTTCATTGTTCTCCAGTCAATTAGTTTGCAAATTGCAGTTCTTCAGTTCTTCTTGTTTGTCGTTGTCATTTTCTGGGGGGTTCTTGTCCATATCAGAAGCATTGATATGACTATAAATATATTTTTTCAGTGTTGAATATAAATTTATAGGTCCTAAAACTTACCCGGTTGTATTGAATCTTGCATGTGTCCAAGGAAGTCTGTGAAAGCTCAGGATATCTTTGCTTCAAGCAATAAAGTAGAGTCTCGGCTCTCTCAGCTAATATATAGTTTTTGTCACTCCGTTCTGTCTCAGACATGAGGTCCTTTACCTTGCTCCATGATGACTTTGAATGGCTCAGACAAGCTTTACGTCTCCATGTGTACATTGATGCTTCGACTCGATCTGCTAGCTGAAGTGCTTCATGTTCAGAACTTATTTTGAGACAGTCAAGAAGGTGATCAGCTGAGAATTTGTCTGCAGTATGCAGATAGCGATAAATTGAATCTCCAATACTAGCTCTTCCACTCTGGATAGATTTATTTTGAAACAGCAGCGAAGTCAGATAAATATAGCCATTTTCAGACATATATGTGAATGCTATTTGATACATTCTATGAAACTGTAATTTCACTAAACAGTTTGAGCACTTGAGTTCAACTGTCGCTTAATATGGTGGGTATGGAACCTTTTGGTTAAAGTTGTTCTTGATACCGAATATTCTTACCCTTCTCTTAACTTTTTTTGTTCTTTTTTTTTTTGGGGTTACGTTAAAAGAATTTGAACTCTTGACTTCAACCAACACCCAACCTCAACCCCGCCCTTAAGTTAGTCTTAGGTGGCTTTCTCCTACTCCAACTTTATTCTAGGGCTTTTATATCAATCTTGGGAGACAAGCACAGACAAAAAGATGGTGTCGTTAGGTTTAGATGTTACAGCAGCCTCAGTATAAATTTACACCAAACTGTTCTGCTATTCTCTTGAAGTCTCAGTTCTCATTGTAGGCTTACATAAAATCTTATTGCAATTCAAAGTGTAAATCCAAACCAAATTATGATACAATATTGCATTTTTCAGAGTCTAGCCTTATCAGTTCTCAGTAGAATCAAGGCTAATAATATTACACAAACTCATTCTGCTAGGATTTAAAATTAAAATTTCCAGAAACATAGGCTGTCTTTAATCAACAATGAGGACTAACCTTGGGAAGACTGGCCATATATGATTCTGGGATATCCATCTCTGCGAGGATGCTACTATTTATAGCCATGGCTGCTTTGTGAATCTGATTAGCACAATCCCGTTTTGCTTTCAAGTGCTTCCTCGAATTGTCAGAGAGGCCACTGTGGGGAACACAAGGAACCGGTAACCACCACTTCTCATCATTTCTTTGAACAATCTTTCGAAATGAGCCTACACGTGAATGCATAGAATTTCCCGATATGCTCCCTTGCTCCGCATACCAAAATTCAGTATCCTGGAAACTATCCAGTATTTCCTGTAAAATGATCAATACCCACAAGTCATGAGGTTTTTCAGAGGAAATAGAATTGTCAAGTACAAGACGCAACAGATGGTTGACTAACTATAAGCATCATGTCAAGCTTCTGCAGTGCCGGAAGGTTGATGTAAATATCCGACCTTGGTCTACTTGTCATCATCTGGGTGACATCACAGGATCCAATCAGATATAAACAGATATTCCAAACAAAGACCATCAAACTATAGTCATGGTTTTAGCAAAATTTCACCTCTATTATGGTGCCATCTAAATACTGTGCAGTTGGGGCAAATTCGACTATGTAATCACAGACTGATAGAAGACATTTCATTTCCCTACTCCACATAGCCTTCTTCTCAGGCTTCAGAGGCTCCAACTTCAAATTTTGTCCAAAAACAGTAGCTGCAGACATTAGAATTCAGAATCAACTACCATATCAATGGAGTTGATTGTCTTTTGAGAACCAAATCAAGGGAGTACACAAAGTTTGCTCTCAAATCCAAAATATAATGCATGAAATTTCAACAGGATCATGCAATAATTACTATGAAAGAATTACCATAAAGGTTGGTAATGGCATTTGAGATTGTGACAGCAGTGCAGACACCTTTCCCACCGCCAGACATATCCTCCCCAAGAAGAAGCTTAGCGAATTTTTCCTTCATCATTTCAAGTTCTGCTAATTTTCCATAAACATTAAGATTATTACTAGCCTTAAAGACAAAAATTTACAAATAACCGCACAACCTCTACAAAACCAACCTGATTCTAAGGGATCCAGGTCTTCAAGTTTATTATCCAATGAATGCCTGCCCGGTTTTATCCCTAGCCTTGTAAGAACTGCTTGATTGGTAACGGGTTTCGCAGTGAGACACCAGGAAGGTGAGGGCTCACCAGCAGAGCTATTGTCATCAACAGGCTCTGAGAAATTAGAGGCCTGAGAGTTAGACCGGCAGTAGGCGAAAGAATCACTACTAAATGTGGAATACCCAGTGGCTGATTGATCATTCTGATCCACAGAGGAAGCTGAAGGCTGATAACCAACATCACAATTTTCGTCAAAATTTGACGAATTGTCCATCTGAGCTCAAGATTCTGTGGTCAAATTCCTCAACCTGCACGCAATCATGATAATTGTGTCTCACATTAGGTTTTGGACTTTTAGGGTTCCCAATTCAAGAACTTCATGATCACCTACAGACACACAAATTTAATGGGACGCTAACATATATGCACAATTTATAATGAAGCTAAACTGCATAAATCCAAAACGAAATAAAAGGGGAAATGAGATCAAAAGAAAAAGCTGAAAGCTTCAACATTTTCCTGTCTTCTGAAAGCACAAAAGCAGAAAAGCTAACCAAAGAATGTTCTTGCTGGTGAGACCAAAAGTACCAGAATGAGAAGTCACGGCTAAAGCTCTCAACATATATAAATAAGAGAAAGTACTACTCTTTCATTGCTTTCCGACAGCAAAACAAACTGAAATTTTGAAAACTCGAAAAGAACAACAACGGTTAGAAAAGATAAAAAATAAAAGCAACGGTCGCCAACAGATTTTTCTCTGTAGCTTTCAAAGTTACCTTTTTTTTGAATAGAAATAGAAGCGAGAAGCTAAAACGGAAGAAGCATTTGAAACAGTAACCCCTCTGGCCAGAAGCGCTGTGGGGCTTAATAGCCTTCTCTGATGAGGCTTCACATGCCAAAAAAGGAAACTGCTCTTGGAAGAATATCAAAAAGAGGGAAATTATTGTGCTGAAGAAGAAGGAAGCAAAGAGAATTTCCCCAGCAATGGCGAGATTCCTCCACGGGTGAGGAAAGAGGTGGGAGATGAGAACAAGACGTGCAAGCGGTGTTTTTATTACAGTTGGACTGGGTAATGAACCTCAGGTTCCAGTCCTCTGTCTCGTCTGTTTATTATATGGATGGTCGTTAATGATGCATGTTATTGGGTTATTTAGTAGTAGTATTTTTTTATTAATTAAAAAAAATTAGGACCAGTCTCTCCCATATATTTAAAAAAAAAAAAACGTTTGTGACGTAAGTGATAAAGTTTGTGCCTTGCTATGTGCCCTACTGCGCTGCTGCTTCCACTCGGATTCACATCAGATTTTAATAATAAATTTACACTTTCAAAAACAATTAAATTTAAATAATCAAATTTAATGCCCCGATTTATAACCACGGTGATCTCTTCTCATTTTAATGATTAATCGGGACTCTTGTAAAATTTATATTCTGTAAGAATATGATATTTTTTATTCTTAGAAGTTTTAGATACCTGTAAAATATTCTGTTCAAGATAAAATTCTTTTTAAATTTTATTAAACCTTAAGAATATTTAACATTGACTTTTTTCAAAGAATATTTTGTTTGGTGAACATTGTACTTCTTCGCCTAAATTGGCGCTGTCTGTCAATTGAAGTTTGGTTGGCCCGTTTTTTTTTTTTTTTGGGGTCAAAAGCACGTAAGTTTAATTTTAAAGAAGTAACTATTCTAAATGTCTCTGGATTGAACAATAATTACAAGCGGACTGGATTTTATAAAGTCAGAATATTTTGATAATATCAAACTTCATATGAAAATGTTTGTTCTTTTTGGCCAACTATATGTGTAAAACGTTTAGTACAGTTTGTGTTAATTATCAAAATAAATTATTTAAAGAAATTTTAATCAGTAGCTAGTACTGTTAAATTGAGCAGAAAAACACAACTGATTTTTTTTTCCATACAAGTATCAAACATTATGCGCGCGCGCGCGTGTGAAGATCTGACTTTTGTGTTGCTTACTTTGGTTCACGGGCGAAGAAGCTGGTGGATTTTGGTATCGAATATCAGTGACTTGTATGCAAATATATAAAATATTTGATGGCCAAAAGGAAAGAAGGGTCTTCTAATACTACTTCGCTGCCTAATATAATATAAGAGTTAATTTAATTATAAGTATGAGATGTTAATTTATTTCTTCTTTTATATTTATTTATTTTTTTAATATAGTTCTTATAAAATTTTACATGTTAAATGTTTTTATTAAGTAGTAATTTTATCTAATATACATAATTATTAAAGATATTTTAAAAAACTAACTTATATTTATTACAAATAACTATCCTAACCAATTTTTTTTTAATATACTTAAATTAATGAACTAGTTTTAGGTTAAAACAAAATTATTGGATGAGGTGAGGTCAAGGGCTGATTTGGCAGCATGTGAAGCAGATGAACACGAACATACCCACGAGTTTCGACGTTCTCTACAGATCGCCAAAATAGTAGCGAGTCATTTCTTCAACGATTAATATTTTAAACCAAATAGTACAGAAAAAGTAAATTTGAATATTCTGTATTACAAGCTCTGTTTTTTGTTGGTGTATGATAAAACAGATCTTTAAATCTAAGATTTACTTCTGTTGATAATTTTCCCAATTTATCTTTGTTGCCTGCTATACATCATTCTTAATTATAAAATTTATAGAGTGGATGAGATTTATATTAATAAAAAAAAGAAAATTATAATCAAGTCACAGAAGAAGAATAATTACCAAAAGTCCTAATAACAATCTTAACATCTGGGACTTGTTTTTTAATTGTTTTCTTTGCTTGAAATCTCATTATAATTCTCTCTATAAAAAAAAAGATAAATTTATAAATACAGAGCAGCACTAGTTTGGTTGATACTTGATATAGTACTATGTATTAATAATAATAATTTTTTTAAATTTGTAACATGAGATGGACTATCAATATTATTAGCTGGCTACATTCAGTGAATTTCCTGAATGAGAGATAAATACGGAGGAAAGGTGAGGCAATGAAATCTGAATAAAGGAACATTAATTTTGTCATTTTTATTTTGATGGTTTGAAATTTAATACATGTGGTTGGCTGGTCTTGTCGGATGTTAGCCAGGAAAGCATCCATGTGAACAAATATTAAATTAAATTTGATAATAATATTAACAATATTCTTCCCTGTGGGTTCATGAGGCGCACATATTATTACTAATATCATATTAACATCAGATTAACTACTATTTAGTGTATGTATTTTTTTTTTTTTGCAACTTGTCATACCAAAAAGAATGGAAGTCCCTAATTTAACCATTAATTTCAATTAACTTGATTATTTATTTCAAGAGAGATTTTGCATTTTAGAGACATAAAAAATCAGGAACATATGCAGAAAAACGTGCCCACCATTTCTCTCAAATGTATAGTTTGATGGTTCCAAAGAATATATGGTCGGTAGTTGAAGATTGAAAGTCAAAATAATTTTCAAATAGTATACTACATTTCAGTCCCAGGCAAAAAAAAAGAAGAAGAAGACGAAGTACACTTTCCACCAATCCGAGGCCTTTTTTTTTTTGGCATTTTCATTAAAACAAATATCTTAGGTCTCTAGAAGCTTATAATTATATTTCTCTCCCTCGGTGAAAGGACGAAATTTAGTATAATTTTTTGAAAAATATATTTGTCAATACTTAGTATCAATACTTTAAAAGTATATCAATTGGATTGAGACAGGATATTCTTTTTCTGCATTTACAATGGGACAAGGAAAAAAGGAGATAAAAAAAGAAGAAAAAGCGAGATCGCATAAATATAGTTAATGTTTTGTCACAACACGGCAATCCTAATTTCTCTTATAATCTTTGTCTTTGGTAATCTTGTTATATTGTTGTATAAAAAGAGGATTTTGTACCATGATATTCTCCACAACTTCAAAATGGATCTAAAGATTGAACCACCTCTTTCTTTCTCTATATCATTTGATTCTCCAGCTGCTTCAATAATCTCATGCTTTTCTTTCTGCAGGAAACTCTAATTATATAAGTTTGCCATTTCACACGCACACTTAATTTCAATAGCAAAAGTATAAAAAGTGGATTTCAATCAAGAAGAAGAAAGCCTTACATTTACGAAAAGTTTGAATCCGATTTTTATCTGTCCTCTGTAGGAGCCATCTTCAAGCACCACATTGTATGGAGCTGGTTTTATTTCTATATATCCTTTTTCTGTCCCTTCTGAGATTATTCTTCCTATGTAAATTCTGCTTTTAAAAAAGTGAAAATTATGCACTATGATTTAACTTTACGGAAAGTAAAATGTGTGGAAATCACAGAAGGTGGATTTAATTAAGTGGATCCTGTGTATTGTCAAAGATTATTTAATTTTTTTCTACTATTATCTTTCATGTGGGAATTCGCTGAAAGCTGATGAAGGAGAACAAAAAAGAGAAATATATTACCTGGATTCACCCACAAATCCTCCATTTGTAAATATTTCTGTGTCCATGATTGTGCACTTGAGGTGGCTTAACTTCTTACTATCGTCAAATGATGAGAATTCAAATGTGAATTTCTCATTCCACCAAGTCTTCTCATCTTTTCCTGCATATTATTTTTCACAACCCATTTATTATTTATTTTATATTAACAAAAGTAATAAAATTTAGTAGTTATCCAAAGTAAAAAGCATGGATGGTTTAAAGATTGCCATTGATGATAAAGATGGTTACTCAAAGAGAACTACAATAAATGTTATTTGCAAAAATTAAAGATATTTTAAAACATAGACATCAGTTGTAATTAGTTAAGATGTATCTGATCATATGGCTAGTTTTCACTGGGTTGTACATTGTAATGGAAATTATTGTTTATAATTGCTGCACAGGGGAGTAAAAGCTAGTTCATGTATAAAATATACAATGAAGTATGAGCAGTCGCATTCTTCATAAGGTATAACGTTGCAATTAACTTCAAACTCCGTTGAATAAACTAATATAGTTTTATCTAAAGATTTCCCATTAAATTAAAAAACATGCGGCTGAACGTACAAGAAGAAAAAAGTAACTAGACCTGATGATATTTTGCTTCTTTGAGATTGAGTTCCCCATTCAAGAATCACATAATAGGATGGCTTTCCTGACAGCAAGTTCAAAAACATTTTGTTTTGTTCAGTCCTAGACTGTAATCAGACATACGAGAGAATCCCCATAAAAAAAAAAAAATTTTGACATCTCAAATAAAAAATGTTTTGCTATTTGCAAGTTCATTGTTTCAAAATCTATTGAAGTCTTGAAACAAAACCTGATTTGAAATCTAGTAATATCAAATTTTTTTTTTGTGGAATTCTCCCAGATATTGAAACTTGAAAGAAAAATAGAGAAAGAAATTAATATATATCAACTTTTTTTTTTTACACAGAAATATCGTGTGTACCAATAAAGTTGGTACGCTTGATGTCTTTAGCATAGACCAGAAGGACTTCAAGAATTCCTGCCTTCATGTTTTGTGTTCTTGATTTTGGATCCAAAGATTTGGTAATTCTTGTGATGTGCTGTTTAGGAATAATATAAGAATATAAGAATAGCCAAAACTCGAATACTTATTGTGAGCGGTGAAATTAAAGCGATAAGTTACTCAACTAAATAAAGTAGTTGAGGTTTCAATTGGAGTTACGACTTGCAAAGAATTTAAATGAGAAGAAAAAAAGTATTTTTGTTTTGTTAGTTTAGATTTAAGTTTTGCTTTCTCTTATCACATATATGGTCTTAGAATGAATGAGAAGAGAGGAGAATTAATTCGATATAAATTGAAAAAAATATTAAAAATTCTTTCAAATTATTACAATTTTTTTAGAATCAACTGGATGTTGGTTTTTGATAGATACAACAGAAACGCATTGTCTTACTCCTTCAGAATATTTTCTCATATTTCATTCTCCAAACTTTGATAACGGCTTTACGGTAAGCATTTTAACAGAAGTAATTGTACGACTTAATCAAGAACTGACCCGGTGAATTATTTATATACTCACTCTAACTGAAACATGTAAATACACCAAATAACGCTCTGTTTTGAATTTAATGCA